CAATGGAGATTCTCTCATATAAAAAAAATTAAGGTTACATGTAAACTTCCTCTATCTTGGGTTACTCTTAAGCCATAGCAATTTCAGAAACAATTTACTCCAAAAAAACAAAATCAAGAATTTAAGAGCTAAGAAACTACTTACAGGTATGCATAATTCATGAATTAGTTAAACCAGACAAATGGATAGAAGATCAAAAGGGAAGAATTTGATTGACCCATTATATGTTCCAATATCATTATATGATCAACATCTCTATGAAGATATAGGATAGGTATATGCAAAACCAACAAAATATAATTGCCATGGAATTTCTAACGCTTAAAAGAAAAACTATTGGTTTGAACATCTCCATTGTGCATAATAGCACTATGATATTTAATATGAGAATAGCTAAAATATTTAGGATAAAATATAGAATTCAAACCTATTGTAGTGAATAAAGACTCCCGACTCCTGCCTCTCTTTTCAAAAAAAATTCCCATAAATCCTTCAAATCTTTGGTCTCTATGTAATGTCCACCTTGATATTATCATGACAACATTCACCATCATTATAATAATTAGGATTAAATAAAATCCTCTAAAGAAATTATCATAAATTAAGGGTTTGAAGATAATTAGTTTAAAACATTAGGATCCTAATGAAAAATCTTTTTATTTCAAAATATTGTTTGAGCTCAAACCATGGTTAAAAATCAGTTAAGAGCAAACATGAAAGCATGAAAATCAAATCACACTTCAAAATAGGTTGAAATAAGCCTTCTAGCCTTAATCTGGTCTGTCTGTTGTGGTAGATGGCACAAGGGGACGAATCCTTCAAAGGCCTCTTGTGCTGCGGCACAAAAATCACACGCCGCGGTGTACAACCTACAATCATGATAGTAGATTGCTGTCATGGCATATCTTCAAACTTTCGGAGCGCGCGTTTTTTTCACCATCCGACATTGATTTAGACAGTTCAAGTGTCCACATGAAACTCTTAGAGACCTCTAGCTATTGGCACCAGTTCAAACTCAAAAAATTACCATTTAAAAGATAAACAATTGAATCTAAAATAGTTTGTTTTCACAACAAAACACACTATGGTGTCCAACTCACAATACCAAATGTCATTAGTCCCAGAGATACCTTGACCATCTCAAATGGACCACACACACCACATAACAATTCAATCTTAACACATAATTGAGTAATCACACTTAAAATGACTACTAAACTCTCAATTGATAATAACACAACGAGACGGATGAAATTCAACACACAAATCAATTAGTTATTTTGATACTCAAAACACTTAAATGTATATCACGTGTAAATATAACTTTGTCAGGCACACACTTAATCCAAACATTAATCTTAGACCAAGATACACACACTTATCACAAATTCATATAAGTAATAATCCAAATAATGTTATATTCTTAAGTTGGCAATATTGGTGATAATATTCATTACAATACCCTAAAAAGAGAAAGGGAAGAGCTATACAATGATACTCTTCACTCTTTAAATGTCCCTTCCTTCCCTTTACCCTTACTGAAGCCTTCACGTGTAAAATATAACCATGGGGTGCAACATCTCAATAACCAATATAGTTCATCAAATGTTTATTACCACAAATAACCATAAAAAAGGTATCAAAATTATAATAATAACAAACATACCATAATTATAAGATAAGTGTATATTTTCTCAACGAAACACATAGTTTTACACTAGCATGATCAACTAACCACCAAACCTCCAATGCTCCCTGATATGAATCATAGGCTCCCCTAAATCAACCACTTATTGACCCGAGCACACTTTCGCTAGTCGCTAGTACCAATATCCCCCCACGGTAATTCTAACCCGCTTACGGATGATTTTTCTCCTCTTCACAATTGTGATAGGGGTATCATTGACTCCTAACCGTACCTTAACGGGTGCTAAGGAGTTGCCAGACTGCCTAATATTCCATGATAACAATCCCATATAATGCTGTACCAGATGTCCATGGTGTCAGCTCGACCATATGAATTTTTCAATCACATACACATATCTCCACATATTTCAGGTGAACTCCCACCCCTTATGATCATGCTTTTTCACAATTTCCACCACTTTTCGTCACATGCTCACATCGCAAATTATATACATAGTACATATATAAATTAAAATCAATAACCTTTTATAAATTAATTTTTTATACTAAAATCATTACAATGTCAAATTAGCATAAAACTCTCAAAACCACAACTTTATCATTGTAGTTACTTCTACATAGTTATAATAGTTAATAAACACAACAAAAAATATAGTTACCTCAATCCTTTGTCACACAAAAAGGGTTACGGTGGCTTAATGTTAGCTCCACATATTCTTAGACTATACGTACGATAAGGCTTGAGCAACGCTCAATCTACATAAAATAAGTGACCATCGTCAATTATCACTCCAGATAACTCCAACTCCAAATTCTTTTGTTCTAAGTGCTTAAAATATTCAAATTCCTTTTTAATAATACCAACCATTCCTACACACTTTAACCATCCTATTAAACATCCCAACATATTAAATTCGCTAATCAATATCCCACATTATCTCAAAATCTTCAAATTAGACTTAGGGTTTGTCCAAACCTTTACCAAAAATTTTTAATCACCACAAAACTCATAACTTAAGGTTAGAAGCTTGATTTAACTCTCTAAGAGATCTTAAATAAACCAATGAGTTTGGTCTAAACCTTAAGGGAGCCGAAATCAAAGCCCCTATTATCCCAAATGTTCAGATTTTTGCATAAAAAAGGAAGAAGAAGGGATATACAATTTACCTAATAGTGATTCAAGCTCAAATGCCCTTTAAGTAGCCTAAGGATCGTTCCCCTAGCAGACCATAGCTCTCCTCCATCGCTCTCCTCGTTATCTCTCTTTCTCTCTTATACTTTTTGAGTCTGATTCCCAATTTGATAAGTCCTGATTTCGTGCATGCATCACGGCATGTCGCGACATGCCCGTCGCGGCACATGGCACAAAAAATCTCAAAAAATTTAAACTCCCTTCCCGTGCTATAGCCCGCTTGAACATCGACCTAACCCTTTTCTAAGACTGTCCAAAGATTCAAAAACCATATTAGTCTCCATAACCCTCGCTAAATTAAACATTTATCTATTTTTAACCAAATTACCCCCTTGAAAACACTGATAATTACTAATGAAAAAACTTAGGGTGTCACACCCTTAAATCTCCTTCATGCTCTCGGTTCTCTTTTTTCAAAAATTTCCCTCAACTCTCTCTTTAGTTCTCTTAGTTTTCTCTCCAAAAAAAACCAATCACTCACCCTTCTTTATCTCTTTTAACAAAAATTTTTGATCCTCTTCATTCTGTTTCTTCGACCTTATACAGAGAGTAGGGGGTGGATGATTACTCACTGCTATTTGCTCCTCTAATCTAGAGCCAGTAATTTTAAGTCGAGCTAGATAGGCTAGCCCAAACCCTCCGAAAAATTTAGGGCCAAGCCCCAAAAAAATATTATTTTTTTATTGTTCGGGCCTATTCGGGTTACCCGAATAGGCCCAAGGAAATTCGGGCCAAGCCCGATTGTGTTCGAGCTTGGCCCAAATACCCAAATAAAAAAATAACTTTTTAAAAAAATATATAAAATATGATAAATATAATTAATTTTTTTCAAGTTTTATATTATTTCATACTAAAATACCATATATATATATATAGATATAAGGGTTTTTAATGTAGTTATTTTTTAAAAAAAAAAATAAAAATAGTTATATTTCATATTTTTATTATTTTTAATTAATAAAATATCGAAAAATAATATTTAAAATATAATTTTAATATTTTAAGATCTAATTTTTGTTAAAATTTTTTTTGAGTCCTATAAATCATTTTCATATAAAAAATAATTTTATATTTTTTATAAATTAAGATAATTAATTTTAAATTAAAAATAAAATTAAAAATAATTTTAAAAATAAAATTTATGCATGTATGAATTCTTGATTATACTACTAGATAAATAATAAATAGAATAATTTCTTAAATAATTGCGCTAGTTTTTGTCCATTCTAGATTTGGTTAAAAATTAAGGGTAAATTAGAGTAAGAATCCATTTTATGTAGGAGTTAAACAATATAAAAAGTTAAAGAAAAATAATTTCAAAAAAATAATATTTTACTCATAACTAAATAATTTTTTTATATAATATAATGATGACAATTTTTTTTATTCCTCCAAATGAAAAGTACAATTTATCTAAAAGTTATTAAAAATTTTAAATTGATCAGGATAATAATTTTAAGTTAGTA